CTGCTTTTTAAACCTGAATTAGACAAGTCCACAAGCAACAGGTCAACAAGTGGGCACCCAGAGCACCAGGCAGGACTAAACTCTCCGTGATGCCCAGCAGGTCTAGATGCTGGGAGCAGTGAGCAGGATGGGGCCAGGCTTGTAGGCTCCCCCTCAGCAGCATCTTCATCACAACTGCTGGAAACAGACTGCTGGGCTAGATGGGCCTCTGTTCAGACCCTGAATAGCCAAATCTTCTCAAATAACCACCAAAAAAAATCCTTTATGAAACTTTTACATAAAGGCACATGCGACCGCCCCGGAGCTGCCTCCCTGCCCAGGCTGGGTCTGTTTATTCTGGCACACAGCTCCCAGCACCCACCCAGCTCCTGCACAGGATGCACATAACAATCCAGTGCCTGCTTTCCACTTTTACCCACTTCAAGTGTTTCAGTTTTGGGTTCTTCAAACTTCAATGAGGATTAAGTAAAAAGATTTTATCTCATTTGAAGAAAAAAAAAGAAAGATGTTTCATTAGGAAACAGGCAAAAGCATTGTAAGAACGCTCAAAACTGCTTATGTTCCCACAGTACTTCAAGCCACACACAAAACTCCTCAAACTACCAGATCACTACATGACCAAGGAGTGAACCACTGAGTGCATGAGAAGGAAGTGACTCAGACTGAAATTCATAAAGGACAGCATGAATGGGACAGGATTTCCGCTTACAGCTCCTTTTACATGGCAAGACTCCTCCATGAAAAAACCCAACAACCCACAAAAAACCCAATCTTGCTCCCTCCTCCTCTCCCATTCAGTTTCTAACACAGCTCTGCAGAAAAGCTACAGTGTGGATTTTAAATCAGAAACACTACATCATACCTCTAAGCCTTCTGCCCATACAAAACACCATCCAACATCCTACTATGACGAACACTCAGAATAACAAATTTTCAGACAAATACAAGCCATCAGTGCCTTGTTTTTTGCCTTAAAATGGCCTATTTTCAACATAGCTAGAAATCTTTATTCACAAGTGTACCTCCCAACATAATGACATGATGCTGTCAATGGAAAAGCCCAGAACTGCACTTACATTCCAATTCAAAACTGTAATTTCCCTACTAAAAAGAGGTCCTGATGCTATGTTATAGGACCAGTCTGGGATAAGTGTGCATTATAGAAGCACTGACGTATTTTAAATGTACCATCACACTGTACAGAGCACAGACTGAGAAAGAGGAGCACATGCTGGAGCCACAATTGAAGAGGTGACTAAACAAAAGTACTCCAGAGTAATTTACTTAACTTCAGTACTATTGATGATCAATTACCCCACTTCTTCCTCCATTGCTGAATCAGCTTTTTGGGGAAACTTTGGTTCTTTCACTACTGGAAGGAGGCATTAAGTTATTGATACATGGCTGAATTTTTCTTGAGCACTTACTCAAATGTTATGGGCATAATACATGCAATGAGTATATATTTGGATGGAAAAGGACTTTGTTAACTCAAATATCTCATGTTCTGTGATTTATGTCACACTTTTTCAGGGAAAAGGGCAGTGTTGCCCTTGCACTGTATAGTGGACAATTTCTTCAATATTATTCGTAAGATCATAGAACGATTTGGGTTGGAAGGGACATTAAAGACCACCTAGTTCCGCTCCCTGCCACGGGCAGGGACCCCTTCCACTAGCCCAGGTTGCTCCAAGCCCCACCCAACCTGTCCTTGAACACTTTTAGGGATGGTGCAGCCACAACTTCTCTGGACAATCTGTGCCAGTGCCTCACCACCCTCACAGGGAAGAATTTCTGCCCAATATCTAATCTAAATGTGCTCCCAGTCAGTTTGAAGCCATTCTACCTTGTCCTTTCTTCCAAGCCCTTATCAAAAGTCCCTCTCCAGCTCTCTTATATCATCTTTGGTAGCTGGAAGGTGCTAGAAGGTCTCCCTGAAGCCTTCCCTTCTGCAGGCCCAGCTCTCTCAGCCTGTCTCCACAGGAGAGGTGCTCCAGCCCTCTTATTCTCATTATTCTCACAGTACTCTAATAACCTCAGAGCAGTCACAACAGAGATTGCTCGGAAGTGCTTGGTAAGGAGCAACACACCCCTCAAAGAAACTATCAAGAAACAAGGAACAGGACAAGCAACTACTTAAACACAGGGTTAGCAGATCCAAGAACAGAAACTCCTATCTTCCACTTCCCTGTCACAAACATCACTATGCAGATCACATTCCTCTTCCAATTAAAGCAGACACTCAAGCTGCCTTTCAGAGCATCGGCTTGGAGTGGCTGGGGGGGCGGGTGCCTGGAGCTCACCTGCCACTGGTGAGCTCCCACCCACACTCTGAGCACTGAGGCAGCTTCCACCACTTTGCTTCCAACAGCCCAGTCCCTAAGGAAAGCAATCCCTGTCACACTGGAGCACTATGTTCCAAGACACTCTATTTTCTGCAGCAACCAGAGTTTCGGTTGTACAAGTGTCTGCTCCAGCTGTGTCCAGGGCTCCTAAAGTCCCTCCCTTGCCAGGAGCTGGCTCACTGGATTGTTCCCACATCCTAACACTCAAAATAAGCAAGGCAGCTCCACTGCACAAACACACACCCCACAACCAGCTATGACACGATATGCTACTAAACACACCACAATCTCAATGAAGAAATTAATGCAAATGAACCCTTCAGTCCCACTTTTCCTTCACCTTACTCTAAGTTTTACTGCAAATTCAAACATTCCTACTTGCATCTGAAGAGTTTTTTTGCTAAGTGGTTTTCTAAATAAAGACACTTATTCTCTACATATTTTATGGGGTTTTGTACATATATATGTACCAAAATTGTTTTTCCAGTCTATTCTGCAATTTCAGAAGCCGCCACATAGCACCATCCAATCCTTAACTATTAGCATGCTTGAACTGATACACATCCACAAAACCTTGAAGTTTCAATCCCTTTGCTACTTGTTGCTTCTGACACATTCATTTTCTTGGCTACTCCACACACACTGTCACCTTAGCAGCATAAATCAAAATTAGCAACTGTGCCCTTACTCCAATTACCTGTATGGGCAGGTTAGTCATGTATTGATCACTAAATCCCCAAATAAGTCAAGAAGAAAGAGAAGGTAAATATAAGGCAGCAGGTATGATTACAAGCTTATAAATATAAAGTGGGAACTTATTTTAGGATGCTGTTTGGTGAGGCATTACAAAACCTCTGTGACCCTCCTGTAAAACCTGGTGCATAGATTTACATGTATGACTATAACAATACACTTTGAGGCCAAAAAGCTCACATTTGAGTCCACAGTATCTCTTTTTTTTAAAAATTTTAATATGAAAAAAAATCTCCTACTCCTACTTTGGCTGCTATCTCTGGGAGCATAAGCAGAACCTCCTTTTAAAGGCAGGAGGGTGGTCCAATAGATTCTTATTTGCACAGCCTCCTGTTAGGGACTTTTCTACAGTTTGGGGGAGGACTCCATCACTTGCTGTTCCCAGTTTCATGGTGCTCTCTGCCTGAGAGAATGGATGTGATATAGTCCTGACTGATCTGATTTTCTTGGTGTTTAAGAGCAGTCACACTCTTCAGCTGCAGCACAGCAGACTACTCCAAGACAACAGATTAGACAAACACAAAGGTTGCAAGAAATACTTAAACAAGATGCTTTTAAAGTAAATCTAGATTATTTTAGACATGATCATCCTGGCTGACCCAGTACTCTCTGAAGCTACATTGTGCAGTTTGGCTGTTAAGACTATACTTTATTCCAGGTCTTTCCCACACGTGCTCCCAAATATCTTATGTATTCCACCTCAGATAAACAGCTAAACATAAATAAGAATACTAAGGTCACATAAGCTGATTGACAAGAAATAACTAGAAAGTCTAATGCAGTGATTCATTTTCTTGGATTATAGCATTCCCAAATACAGCTCCTTGCTAATTCTAAAACCCTCAAGCATGGCTGCAAATCCTCATTCCTTACCATGCCAGCAGCATTTTTTTCCTCTCTGGCTATTGATTTAGTTTTCATGAATATTCATTTCAGTTATGTCTCACAAGTAAAAGTACATGGCCAAATAAATATACACTATAGACAGAGACTGGAAACCTATGTTATACGCATAAATTCACACAAGAGAATTCAGAGTGTGTTACATTATAAATATTCTGGACATGCTGGATATGAGCTTGGTTACTACACAGAAGTTTGTTCAGACAGCTGCAGCTGTGCCAGTCAGCAAAGAGTCAGGCAGAGAAGAGAAAAGCTGAAAGGTATAAGGGATTATAACAAGTTACTAAGCTAAATTTAGGTAGACCTGTCTATGTGAAGAATGGCTTGTGATAAATAAGGTTTGATTACAGTAAAACATTTGGTTGTTCACCTAAAGTTTTAAATTTTAAGTGGTAAGCCTCTGAAAATGCTGAAGGAAATTATTTCAAAAGTAGCCAGGCTTATTTGAGCACTAATTCCAATGATTAACATTAAGCAATTTCTTTTCAATTTTCTTCAGTTTCAACTAATCGTACTTCCATTCAACCGTCACATAAACAAAATTTGTTTTTTCAGCAATCATCTCTAAACTTTCTACTATCTTTACTAAGTTTACCTAGGAGATGCAAAGCACTGGTACCTAGTAGTCAGGTTCTGGTTACAGCTCAACTGTCAGTAGAGATTTTTGCAAAGGGCCAAGATGCTTCTATGAAAAGCAAAATAAAACCAGGACCTTGCCCATAATACACATTTCTCCTTACAGCAGATAAAAAGAGTGTGATGCTACATCTCCCAAGAGAGTAGTCATGCAAGAAGATGAGGAGGCAATGGGTTCACCTTACAAAACAAATACACAACAGCAAGCTCAGCATTTATATATTTAAGTTCACACTGCATCAACACTGCCATGATGCGTGGGTGGGAGTGTTTCTTGGCATGGCCACTAGATCCATACAGAGGTGATCATAAGCTGGAAGGGCGCAATAAAAGGGAATTCAAAATAAATAAAGCTGTCTTTACCATGTGGGTCCTGTTCATTTGACTTTGGGCTGCTCCTTGCCCTGCGCTCTGGTTTCTTGACGGCCGGAGCCCCTGCTCCGCTGCTCGCTCCGTTGTGGCTCTTTGCATAACCATTGTAGACTGTTGTGCAGGTGCCTATATGGCTTTTGTAGATGGAGGAAGGAGGACTATTCAGACGGTTCTGGCGATCAATCTGCCTGTCTTTGAGTTTTTTGTGCTGTGGTTTGCTGTACTGATCTTCCCTGGTGATATAGCTGGACATCCCATATAGTGGTATGATTTCTGAAACAGTAGAATTCACCCACATTAATTCAGAACAACAAAAAAAAAATCACCTTTTTTTTTATTCCAGAAAACCAACATTACTGACCAGCTCAAATGAAATGACTCCAGATGTTCCTGGAGAATTTACAATGAACCAATTATTTTTCCTTTAAAAAAATTTTCTGTGGGAATGATGATCTTTTTAATATTAACTGTGCTCCTCTGACGATAGAATTTCATAACTCTTTGGATGAGTGCAAAATACAGCAATTAGGGTGATAGTTTTTTCCCTTCTTTTCAGTCTTTGTGTTTCAGGGACAAATGCTTCAAGGGAAAAATCCAGGCAGACTGAACTTTAGGAAAAAGTCTTCCTAAGTTTACCACAATTTGGCATTTCCTTCCCCAGGGCCTGACCGGACAGAACAAGCTGAGGGGCACTGGTTTCAAGCTGCCACCCCTGATTACATACAATTTCATTTCCCAGTATAAATAGACTTTACCAGGGTGTCAGTTGTGCTGCCTAAGGAGAAGTGCAGGATGAAGTGGAAGCTCTGGGAAGTAAAACAGTCTCAAAAAAAGGTTTACAATTATCACAAATATCACATGCACACTTCAGCTACACTTCATGAAATACAACTCCCACTTCCCCTCTGCAAGGATGTCTCTATTTAACCTAAGGCAGGTCAGCTTGCAGGAATCAATATTTTCTGGTTTTCTCTATAGTTCAAGCCTCCTCCTTCTGCTCCACTTTGAGTGTGAGGTTTAAACATATTAATGTCCAAACCAACAGTTTTGTCTTTGTTAGCAACAAAATAATTGATACTTGATATACTCATCTCTTTTTCTACGTCCATTCAGAAATTATGGTACAAACTTGTGAAGAAAACAAGCATCCTAACCAGCTGTTCAAAGCCTGTTTGTAAATTGAGATCGCCATGTATACTGTTTCTTCAACTAGCCAGATTTTCTTTCTTTGGTATTTCAATGCATCTTGGCCTTCATCTTTCCTTATCTAGTTATGTGATGCAGCAACTAGCTGCCTAAAACCAGCATACCACAAATAAATGTCACTTTTATTTAGTGTATAAGCCATTCTACATCCAAAGGGAAACTGGATTAATACTCATCAGTACAGTGTTCACCACTTCAATTACTTCAGTGGACAGGTACCTCCCAGTATAATGAAGTTAAAAGTCAGCTGTAAGGTCCATTCCTCACCAGAAAATGAGGTCTGCTGGGCAACAGAAAATTCAAGGGGTAACATTTGTACATACCTTCCCCTCTCTTTCTGCCTTTCTTTCCAGCAGAACCTTACTTCTAGTAGTATGATTTAAACATAACTTTCAGAAAGGGTTTTAAGTCCAGATAGTTCAGTAGTAATGTAAATCCATGAATCCTGAACTGATTTTCATGTTAAACATCTCAAGTAGCTTTGCAGATTACTTTTTTGGTTAATGCCCTCTTTCAGATTACACAAAGACTTATCTCCAAGGTGGCAGAGACACAGCAGTGCATAGTTCAGAGAGAAATATGCCCCTTTCACTCCTTTTCTTGCAATTACTTCCTCATGGCCTAATTAGGGTTGCCATGCTACCCTTTGGTGTCAGACAATGCCTTGCAGTGACTTACTGCACAGTCTCAACTAGAATAACAAACAGAAAAATTCCTGTTAATTCTTGGAAAACCACATCTGGGGGACAGAATTCACGTTAGGGCCAACAGGACGCGGTATCCGGCTTTTCCCACTGGGAATGACTGCAGCAAGCCATATCAGGATCCAGCCCTCTGTAGCCATCATAATTCCCAAGCCAGGACTGACACATTTTTTCTCTATGTTTTCTGTATAATGCTGCATCATGACACAGCAAGAGCAACATGACTAATGTCTCTAGTATGGAGCATGGGATGAGAAATTTTTTCCCCACCATATTTACAGATTAAGTTAAAATTTATTTTGGCTCTGTAACCTAGTGTGGCAATGTAGGATTGTCCAGTGTTGCCACACTCTGGATGGCTACAGCCCCCTGCTCCGGATATTAAAGGAAGCTCCATCCATGTAGACAAAACCACTGTACAAGTTTTCCATTTCTCCTCTTGGTTTCACTAGCCCTTAAGACTTGCTGAACACAGGTATGAAATACCAATACCTTCCTTCCAGCTCACCTTGTTCTCCATATATTGTCGGGGGAAGATGATGCTGTGGGAAAAACTGTGGTGGCATGTCCCCAGGTCCAGTGACAGGAGGATAAAAAGCTGTATGAGAGTTGTGAATAAAATGGGGATGGTGTGTCAGGTACGGAGGTAAGTGATGGGTTGGTGAGATGGCTGAAGGGTAGCTGGGAGGATAACACTCTGGAGACTGGGGGGTAACCACCACCCTCCGAACGCCGGTGTTGTCTTCTATCACCTGGAAGGGAATGCAGGGAAATGAGCATATTATGCAGCATCTGAACCAGGCACATTTTTAAAACAACACTGTTGACAGTTTGTTCTCCCATCGGAAAATGGTTGGTACTTAGGCTAAAATTAATATCAGCAGAAATAACCACAGTGGTGATGTGGCTTTTCCTGGAGACTCAGATAGCCACACTAATCACCGGGAGCTGTTCTGCTGCTGGTGATAACTATGTGGGTAAGAGACAAAATATATATCCTGCATTTAGGGAGGAAAACAATTGAAAAGGGAACACAAAGAATCAAAATAAGAGTACTCATTGGGAGTATTCTGCCCATAACATTTCTACCATGTTTTTTGAGAGCACTCTGAGTATGGAGTTAGTAACACTCAGGAAGCAGCTGGCACTGCTACTGCAGCGAGGCTGCATGTGTGCACAGAGACATGTACTCTGCAGGAACCTGCTATGTTGAAAATGTTTGCAAAAGAATTGCTCTGTTCATAACAGGTATTTGTTCAAGACAAACCATAGGGCAGAAGGTTTGCTTCTGCTACAGAGCTGGTCTATAGATCCATGCAAATCAGCTCTGTGATATGCATAACTTGGCCCCTAACACCATAGCCAAAGCATGTAAAAACAGATGTAGGAAGGTGGAAATGTGCTTAGGCTGAAAAATGTTTTTCAGGTTATAATTTTTCCAGAGTTATATTTCTGGAGAACAGTCCACCAGCCAAATTTCAGTGCAGATGCAGGAGCCAAGCTTTTCTTGAAGCTCATTCAAAAAACTTCTGCCATTTCTGAGACTGAAAAATACAACCACATAAGAAGAATTACTGTCCCTTTGATTCTGTATGCTGACATGCATGAGGTAGAAAAACATGAAGGCAGCATAATTTAGTTTCATACAACAAACAGGTTGTTAAAAACCTAATTTTCTCTCAACTGACTGATGACACACAGATGGAATAATATCTGTGATGAATGTGTTGTATGAGATAATGAATGTACATCAAAGACACCTGCTGCAAGATGCTGCCACTCTCAGCTCATTGCCACCAACATCAACTGGAGTTATCCACCCCCCAGCAGCAACAGCAGAAGAGACACTGCTACAGATCCCCATGCTCCAGTGACTCTCATCACATCACAGTGTTTTACCCGGAATCACAAAAGAAAAATCTGTACCCTGAAGCAAAGGAACAGTGTGGGCATGTGGCTGTTTCTGCTGACTCTGCCACTACAAACCTGCCCTGTCTAAGGGGCAATGCCCAAAGCCCTGTGCAAAACTGCTCCAGCAAACATCAACTCATGCCTCAGGCATCAGCTGAGCAAGGTATCACAGGGCAAAATTCAACTAATATTAGCTGACCCAAGCCCTTCCTCAGGCCATGTGTGCCCTTAGGTTGTATGAATTTATGCCTGTTAGCTATGGGATGTGACCACGGACACAGACAATTTCTGTGGCTTGGCTGGCCTCCTACAGAAGGCTATTTTCTATAGAAAGTTAATTCATTCACTTGTAACTCATATTTCACATTCAAAAAATGTGTTGCTTGCTGAGTGACCAGAATAGTAATTGTTTAGCTTAACATACTTGATCCTACCCTCTAAATTTACAACTTCAGTGAGTAATTTGTCAGCTGCTAGCTTTAAATTTCAAAGTCTTCATAGAGACCTCGAAAGACAGCTGAGCCTCAGAGATTTAGACTATCACATCCTTTTAAGTGCTGCATTTTCTGGCCTCCATCTCTGCAACTGGTTCTACTCCCCTTCACAGCATCTCTTACCCTGGTGCCAGGTCTCAAACCTGCACTCTGAAACCTGGAGAAATCTTCTTCCATTTAGCATATTTGAAAAGCAGTACTACTTATCTTAGCAGTGGGCACAGAAATGCTACACTTAACTCTCTTAGATCATGCTCTAATTTAATTCAGACAGCAAGTTCCTACATCCTGATGTGAAGTTTTCGTCGTGGCTTTAGCCTCAAAGACAAGTGCAGCCTTCCAGGCAGGTACAAGCTCCTATCTGAGCAGCTAGACAACACTACATGTGTATTTTGAGCTCTAGTGAGAGATGAATATGTTAAGGAATGGATTTAGACAGAAAATTTGTACCCTGAGCAGCACATAATGCAAACCATATTTAAAATCATATAAAATTCAGCTTCCTGAACTATCATCTATATAGCAGAGTCCTGTCAGAGACCTTTTTGATGACATTAGCTTGTTACATGAAACTATAAAACATCAGCAGTACTGAGAGAAAAGCCAGAAATGCAGGGATAGAATAGAATATTTCTGTTGGAAGGGACCTACAATGACCATCTAGTCCAACACAAAGGATGAGCCAGCCTTCCAAATTACCTTAGTTGAAAAGCCAAGACACTAATATCTTCTATTTGTTTCCTCTCAGGCCACGAATGCTGAGAGCATTCTTGCTATTCCATGTGCTTGCATTACAAACGAACACAAAAACACAGGGGATCTTGCAAAACACACATTATTTCCCTATCCTATAGGGCATTTTCTCTCTATGCTAAGAATTACAGATATATGTGTAAATTTCTGAAGCTGCACACACATCTTTAAAACATGCTATTCTGTCCTTAACAAATCAAAGAATTGGCAATTGGATTTATTATGCATTATATGCATTAGGTAGCTATCAGGGCTGTAGATATCCCTTCATTTGTAAAACCTGCACTGGAGAGATTGTAGTAGTGCCATTCTGGGAGCAACACTCTCTCTATTCACCAAAGATAGAGAAAATTAGTTTTGATCCATTAAGGAAAATAGCGTAACTCCGCAGAGAAGTCAAGCTTTGCTATTTAAAGAAGGAAAGTGTAATTCTTTGCATCTGCTTAAAACCATTTGTCACAAAGATCATAAATTCATCAGGGAGCACACTGCTAAACTGTCTCTACTTCAGTGCCAAGAAGCAATGAAACCCTAATCCCTGCTGAGGTCTCTAGATGCAACTAGAATATTAAAAGTAATTGCTATTACTAATTTTAGCAGTTTATATTTACAGAAAACAAATATCTCTGGTCATTTGGCACCTAGGGATAAACTTTCATTATTTTGTGTTCTTTTCAAACAGTTACTAGGTAAATTGTCTTTTGCTGGTGCAACTGGTGTGCTGCCTCAACAACAATACTATTATAGCATAGTTCTGTGTGGGTTTTTTTCCCATATTTTAGGGAGCTTAATTGCTATGTGAGGTAGATGATGATCTTTCAGGACAGTCTGGGTTAACATTACTCATACACAATGAAATTGCCTCCCCCATTGGCTGCCACATTTTGAGAATGCCATTCTAAATGTTATTTGTTTTACAGCTAAGATATCACTGTAGTAACTAGAGATAATCCACGTATTCAAAGAACATCACTACTCCATGTTGTCTCATTTTTCTCCAGTGAAATTTAATCCTACCCTCCCAGGAAAAAGTCAGGCATAGGTAAACCATACCTGCATTTTGTGAGATGCAGTTAAAGAAACACAACCACTCTCATTCTATAACACACATTTACTGGATGAGTTTAATATGATACTATGCAAGTATTTTCCACTTGCTTTCAAAAAAAGCCAAACAACTCCTATTTCATTTCAATTTACTGCGCTAGATTCAGCAAGGACACCTGGAGCATGGCCACTGTGTGGACTACAACCAGTACTTTGGGAATTTCATAAACTAATTTGAAACTTCATTCATAAATCAATCTGTACCAGAAAATAGTACAGAATGAGCTCATCCCCAAGGAACGTGGGTGTCAACCCTTTATTTATTCACTTAATTTCTTAAGGATGCCAATCCAAGTTCATGCCAGCCCTGGCAAGTTTGCATCACTATCTTTAGCATCCATCAGTATTAAATCAAACACCATATTAAATCTATACCTTCAACCTGGAAAATAGACAGATGAGCATCTAGAATGCTGGCAAACATGTTGGAGCATTTTAAATATAGAATGATACAGATCTTCAGGACCAACACTCATAAGCTTAAAAGGATCATCACTTTATAGCTTGTTCTGTATGAGATCTGCACAACCTTCTTGTGTTCAAACCTTTAATGAGGATCATCCTGTTAAAGGATTCCTTGACTGACTGCAGTCTATAAAGCGCCCAGACAAGCCCTGGGAGCAGTAAGCCATACAAAAACAAGGAGTTTGTGTCTAAAACACAATGCTAGCCAAACATGCTTTTGGAGGAGACCTCTCTTGGGTACATCTTCCATCCTAAGACCAAAATCCTGATTCCCAAGAACATGATGGATTTTCTACTATTTAAAATGTCATTTCAAGACATTACTCTTTCTACAAGTTATGCTTTAATTCCGTCAGATGTCATATGCTTGATGCAGGGATATTGAACTGCAGGACCATGGCACGAGTTGCACAGCTCAGACCACATGACCCCAACATTGCCTCCTGACCAATGGAAGCTTATCAGTACTACACATACCTCATGCTTCAACCAGTAAATCAGTCCTTTAGTCTTAAAATATCTGTGGCAGAGACCACATATTAACAAGTCTGTAAATAAAATCAAAAGTGGAGTTCCATGCCAAATTTTCATGTCCAACTACACAAGTAATCTCCAAACTCCACTGGAATTGCTCCAGATTTATTTCTGAGAGAGCAGTCCTCAGCCAATAGCCCTAAGCAAACAAGCTCATGATTGTGCTTTTTGATATTTCTAATTTTCTAGTTGTCCTCATCAGAACACTTCAAATCCTCCTTCCATCCTCCCAAATATATAACATGAAAAGCAAAAACAACAACCCACGAGGATATCCCCAAATTTAACAGCTTAATATCCAAATCTTTTATCTTCAGGTTACACTGATGCCAAGGAGCTAAGTGCTCTGGGAGCCAGGAGAAGGCAACAGGCCACAGACCCTGATGGCAAGAAGCCTCCAGTGGACATCCCAGCAGAGAATGCACTCCCAGCCTGCACAGCAGGGAAGCAGCTCTGTCCACAGCTCAGAACTGGAATGGGTATTAACAGCTTGTGCCAGGCTCCTGACAAGTCATAGGAGCTGCTCCTGCAACAGCTGAAGCCAGCTAAATTGTTGACATCACACACATTTAATGCAGATTCCTCCACCAGGTCAACTTCCACACCCAACTTTTACAGAAGCAACATTGTCCACCAAGAGCACGGCAAGGAATTTCTCCTCTCCGGCATATTTAACTAACCTTTGGCCCACAGAGAACTGCAGGACATGAACTCTGACCTGATAGTTCACATCTGCCAGAGGTGCACAGAGGTTTGTCTGCTGAAATGCAAACCAGATGTCTGTACTGAACTGGTCTTTGGGAGCAAAACCATAACATGAACGACCTGCAGTGGTGGAGTGTATTTGTCTTCTATTATATGCCTGGATTTTTTCCCCACTCTGGCTAAGCTTCATCATTGGGAACACCTCCTTAACATGAACAAAAACAGCTTCTATTCACAATCACTGTGGTCCTTGAGGTCTAGAAATGGCATCTAACTATGTGCTGCTTCCAGTAGGGCTGATCTTGCAGGGCACACATCCTCCTGCCTATTTGTCACTGACCATTTTCCCAATACTGAAGACGTAATGAAGCCCCACGTTAATCCACGGTTGCAATCACTCGATAATTCATGCAATATTTAAGGCTAATACTCACAGCTCCAACACTCCTGGCGTAACAAAATGGAAAAAGAAAGATTTAATGCCATTTTTTAATAGGCATAGTTATGTCTCCACAGCGATAGTGTGTTCTACTTCACTCTTAGATGCATACTTTAGGGACAAATCAAACCAAAAATCAAATACATTTTGATTCATATCTCAGAGTGCATTAATTTGCCTTATGGCCTCTCATTTACCATTTTAAGTAGTGTTCTAATTGTTTATCATAAGTGTTTTTAACTATGAGGCAACAGATAAAGCAAGAGCAAATAAGGCAGAGACATTTAAGACAGCAAGAACTCACTTCATTACTAGAGATTCTCAACTGCTGTTTAATACAAAGCAGTCTGAAAGGCAAGAGGCACACAGCAGAACACACATTTTGCTGCTGTAAAGCACTAAATACAGAGCTTTTCCTTACAACTTTACAATATATTTCCAACTCCTTGGAAAAATTACTTCATAAGAGGGTTTTTGGTTGGGTTTTTTTTTTGGTTAAGAAACTACTTATAGACTTCTTTAGTGGAATTATTATGGTGCCCCACAAAAAGCATTAAAGAGGAACTGAGCTCAGACAGAGATACAACTGGAAGACTTTCATCCCTCTGGTTTGGAAAGCATTTCAACTATCCACAGCCATTTATCACAGCACAGAGGTGGAGAAGTATGAACATTTTAATAATAAAAAGGTGTCAAAGTTATTTCAAAGGAAGAATAAATCTTTGAAAAAAATCCCTTTGCACGATATGGGTCAGTTTATTAAATTAGGTGAGCCCATGATGAGTATCGCACAGCAAATGCTGTCTCAAGACATACCCCAAACACCTTCCTTGGGATGCTCAAGGAGCAGCAAGAGGACCACCCTGTTGTCCTGCCCTCTCTCCTAGGCTAACAACTCCCCCCACACTTGAAGAATGTTTTCACTCTGTTCAGAAGTTAAAATACCACAGAGTGATTGCAGTATTTTGTGGGATTTAAGTATGACGCCATCCACAATTTTTCAGAATTACACAAGCTCACATGTTTCCTGGGAAGGGATTCCAGGACATCATCTATTTTCTGCTGAACTAGATGCCAAAATATATGTATTAAAAGTTCTTATGCTATTCATCAAGGATATTTGAAATACTTTATAAACTTTTAATGAAGCTTTCAGTCGAGGTCTCAATGCAAAGGGTGAAATTATTGGTTTCATTGTATTGTTCACAGCTGTTCTGCCTTACATCACTCTTTTTTCTTTTTCCTTTGTTTCTTCCAACCATCAGAAGGAGTCTAAGCCTTACAGAAGATGGAAGGAACAGAAACAAAGTGGTTATTAACACAGAAGAGCAGTAGCTGTTCAAGAGTTCCAAAACCTAACAACTTTGTGAAAAGCTTTTTCCACAAATAGATAACTAATAAGATAAATCACATTTATTCTTGAAAAGACACCAAAACTCCCAGTTCTTGGTATGCTGCAGGATTTCTGCTGAGAAGATATTGAGGATCATCAGCATATTTTATAGTTACAGTGGCAACTCCTCTCACTTCTACAAGTCTCCTACCCCTTCTGACTGTCACACGAGAAATTAAGGCATCACCCAACAACGTGGAGCTCCCTCTCTCTCTCACAAAGGGAGAGAAGTTGCACATATTGGCTCAATCTGTATGCAGAGCTTTTGCCAGTGTTAAAAACCCAAATCTAGCACACATACCAGTGTATGATGGTGCACATGTGGTCACTTGTGCAAACATGTTGTACCGTCAGTAAAGAGGACGAGTATGAAAATGTCTATTACCATTTTCATTAATATTTTTTAATCAAACTTCAACCAAGTAGACTTCTCTATATGGATCACTGGGATTGCTTTTATATCCATTTTAATTCTTCAAGAAACATACCTGTGAGATATAACCAGGAGGCACATGAATAGGGGGAATGGATCCATTGGGTGACATCATGGGAACCTCGGCTGGTCCTAGTAGAAAGAGAGTAATAAGATATCAATTTTTTTCAGTTAAAAAAACCAGAATGATTGCTCAGAAAAGGCTAAAAATAGCTTTCTTTTTGAAACCTGCAATAACAAAATGAGCAGCTCCACTAATTTCTGGTATATGGAAAATGCCTTGTGCCATCGTTCTGAGAATAAGATCATTGTTCAATGACTTTACCATATATTCTGCTGAAATAATATTTTCATCATAAACCAGCTAGAACATAGACTTTATATTACCCACTGATCAACTTATACAGCATTAAGCAGTAACACAATATGTCCTTTAGCAGCCCACAATTCCTATATTGAAATCTGGTTAAGTTATTCTTGTCGAAGGCATAGGAGCAGGGAACAAAGCAGAAACTGTGCAGCCTGGAATTAGGCAGCTCCCAAGGAAAGCGTCCAATTGTAGCAAAAAAAAAAATCATCACATATGTGAAAAACTATCTATCTATTTAAGAATGCACAAAGACCAAATTCATTATCTCAGCTATTCAGACTAACCTTGGAATGTGGTTATACAAGCAAGAAGCTTATGGTTTCCACTCTGAAATCCAGCCCTGAACATGCAAGTTCCATTTTGAGGCACTGAGTACAAATACAACAAAGCAAGTGCCATAACCACTGGGCTTTTGCAAACGGAGCCTCACAGCTAAAAGAAAGTGTCTAGATAAAATGGAAATAGTTCTCTCAATTGCTCATTGATTCAGCCATTAACATCACACAGGGCAGTCAGTAAAACATCAAACAGATGTTTGCAATGAGAGTTTACTACTTGGAAAGAAAAATTAATTTCATTCCTTCCTTATTACACATTAAAATGCTGACACTAACTTGTTAATTAGCCCATTTGACCCCATGGTCAAACTCTTGAGAAGAGCTCGGCAAGACTGTGCTCCTTGTCATTTCAAATTGAATTTTAGCTTTGACTAACAACACAAAAGGTAACTTTATCACCTTCTCTGATGGAGAAGCCATCTAACATCTCCAAACCATATCACGTTCTAGGGAAGGAAGCTAAACACTAAAACATATGAAGGACTTCAGGCACAGATGGGATGTAATGGCTTGTAGGAGTGACTGCTCTTAAAATTTAGACAAATCTAATGAAATCCCCAAAGTGAATCACAGTCTGTTGTCTGATATCAGCAAAACCAGTGCACATTAAATTATCAGAGTCATTCCCTACCCATCTGCATTTTTATACTCATCAGGCTGCTTATGGTACAATCAGCAGAACTTGCTATCTCCCAAAACCCAAGTTACACAGGAATCCATCCAAGTTATTTTTATCTCCTCTGATCTTGGTTTGTTTTCCCTATCCAGTTATTTATAGTCTAATCAGCACCTACAGATTTTACTACTCACATCTAGAATTGAAATATGGTAATTTGTTACCAAGTGCATAAAGCACATGGAAACTCTGAAGTTGAAATTTAAAGAAGTCATTTTAGGTGTGTGGTTCTGCTACACTTCCCTATACTTAACTATGCAAAGAACTTCACCTATTCTACAGCCTCAGTAAAGGGGAAAAAAAAAAAGGTGTTATTACTTCCCCTTCTTACTCAGCTCATAAGATTCCCCTCACCCTTCACTCTGTTTATCTCTCCAGACAGCCAACAATTTTAGTGTCAGTGGAAAAACTTCAGCCTGAGCAATAAGTGATTACTAGGAAGGAGCTGCCACCTAAATGGTTCTATTTAAATCCATCAAAAGTATGAAGTGACAACTGGTTCAGAAGGAATTTTACAGAAATAATATTTGAGTAAATGTGTTTCCCTATAAAAAAAAAAATCTCTGCAAATTTCTTTTGAGGAATATGGGGGTTTATTTCTCTCTGAATCTAATTTGGTCTATACACACTGCCAAGTTTCACTCCACAGTGAGCTGAACAGTGTATCTATATGTAACAGCTGATACCAGTGAACACACAATGATGCTTTTCCTGGGGATATAATCCACACTAGATTATCAAGTGCTGTTTAGCTCTTCAGGACAGAACATGCCTGAGACCAGGCAAATGAATAGTTAACAGTTAATGTGACACATTCCTTGTCAGTGATTTCTCACACCTGAAAAACCACAAGAGAAACTGTCCTTATAAAATAAAAAAATCCTGAGTTCACCATTTAAGTAGACAGTAATTTAAAATGTTGCACATAAACGTTGCTTAATAGAATGAAGCTTTAATATATAACCTGTGTCAGCCCCTCACAAAACTCTCTACTTAGACTTGTATTGGCCCTAGTCAGTCTCTCTCAAAAATAGCTACTCTGACTTGGAAATAAAACTCAAAAATGGAACAGTTTTGGAGTTTCTACATACACAGCAGATAGACTATAAAACAAATAAGAAGCACTTCGCTCGGTATGCCTCATATCTGTCCTTCCAAACCTTGTGCCAACTGCTCATATGGAGTAGTGATCTACTTGCAGGAAGAAATAAACTCCCACACTTATACTGTTGACTGTAACACTTTCACTCCATTAAAAAAAAATAAATATTGTGTTTTATCATCAAAACGTGCACCCTGCAAGATGAGTCTTAACCTTGCCTATGACCCAACAAACTGTTAAAGTCATTTGGATAACAGGTTTTAAAAGACTGACAGCCTGGTGATTTGCAGCTAGATTTTGTTTCCAGTGCTTTGATTTCAGGGTTAGCCAAATGACTTTAGCACACATTATTGCATTCCTCTCATCAATGGTATCAAAACAACTTCAAGCGGTAGTGAGTAAAATGCAGACCCATCTCCACAGCACAATGAGTCCCAGCCATTATTAAAGACTATTCTTACAGGGAAAACATTCCCTAATTAACACTAAAATAAAAGCATACCTTCTTTTTGATTTGGGTTTTTTTTGGGGGGGGGGGGTTCAGTATTTTTGGTTATTTCAAGTATTTCTAAACTCTTAAAAGGCAGGTATTTAGAGCAGGATGTTCCTCAGCTGCTTGAATTCACAGGATGGATGTAAGTAACGTGTCCTCTGGGGAACTGGAACCTTGCAGGTTTTAATTGTAGCTCGTGGTTCAATACAAAATTTACTTCCAATGAGAAAAAGTCCATCCCTTCCAACACAGATGCTGCACACAGTACTTGCTTTAGTACTGCTTGAACCTGTTAACAAACAGAGGCTGTCTCCTGAGTTCCTAATGAAACTGAGCCAGAAGAGCTTGGCCACCTCTGCCGACAAAACTAGAGGCCAAATTCCACCCTGAGCTCCTTCACCATGAATACAGCACATCTCCATCAGCTTCTGGAGGGCTGCCCCAGAGTGCTGGGGCTGGCTCCATCTAAATTGCAAGTGCAAGGAAATTATTCCCCTTCCTCTGAAATAAGAGGAAAAGCAGAGGACCTACCATGCTGGAGGCACCCAAGACCATGTAGCCCAGGCAGGTGACAGACCCCACCTGTCCCCAGCTGCCAGACCACAAAGTTTTCCTATTTCTAACACGTTAATAATTAACAGACAATAAACGCATCAACTCAGTCACGTATTGTGGCAGAGCTAACTAACAGCTTGACACCCTTGTCAGGGCCTGTCCTCCTCTTCCAAGCCACATGCTCTCTCTGTCACTCCTCTGATAGCATGGAAGCTAATTATTTTGAACATTTCAGATAACCAAAAAGGTTTTGCAAATCTGTTACCTTTCTAAAAAACCCTGCACGTTTAGTCTAACAGAAATGACAAGAATCATTCTATTCCTTCTCGTGCCATGGTTTACTGGGTGAAGCTGCACATCAAAGCAGGACACGCTTCCACCTCTGTCTCCCACTTGCCCTGCCAAGAGGATGTTTCTGTCACACAGAGACTGACAGTTCTTCTGGACATTTTTATTCCTTCAGGAATCATGTCACAATGTACTTGAGAAACTTCTGTCCCAAGGTTTTCAGGGCTAATTATAGCCTTGGTTACAATCCATGACACTTACAAATTTCTTGTCTAAAACCAGTTTTGGGGTAAGAATGCTTTTTTCTTGTTCCCGAGTGACCTTTTATGCATGCATTAAAGATCACTTAAATCAGGGGTTTTTTTCCTTAAATTATAGAAGGCAAAATCTGGCATTTCAATTCTTCCAGTTATAGCAACACATCTTTCCCATTTCCTTCTTTCCACATAGCATTATAGAGCAAAGAAGTAATTTTACTACACCATTTTCCTTAGTGCTTATAGACCATCGCTCTTCTCCCTTTGTGACTAAATTACGTTCCCCACAGAATATTGTTCACATCCAGCTTCAGCACATGTTTTACTCCCTGTTTCTAGTGACTGTTTTGCATAGCTTATTACCAAGAGCAAAACCTACCAGGCTTTGTTATAAAGTTCCCATTCTGAGAGCAGTTATTGAAAACTCCCTGAAGCTCAGGAATTTCTTAGCCCTGTTTCCAGTAAACACGTACCAACTTACCATTTCATACCACAGTACCTGCAACTAGCAGAGAAACAATATGAAATTTAGTGATTTTGCACTTTTACCTTGATATTGAAGAATCCTGTACTTTTTAACAAGAAGAACCTACTGAAGGATGTAAGTAGAAAATGACATCCAGCAAGATAAATGCATTTTATTTTATAAACGTTAACGGTTATAAGTAACCCATGAAAAAATATTCTGCCTCCCCCTGATCCACAACAAATCTGGTATCACATCTTTCACATGGGGCACTTCTCAGGAAGTAAATCTATGGAGCAAGAGGTGTGACCAAACGAAAAGGAGAGATAATTAAAGGGCAAATTGGCCTGCTTTGCTAAAACAAATGACCCAGGGCTTGCTGACCTTGGCTGGGACCCAAGGGTTTGCATTTTCACATGGATGAGCAGCTGTTCCGGAACAATTTCCTCAATGAAACAAGCACAAACAGGCTCCCTGTCAGGCACACGTGTCTTCTCCCTCCACTTGGTTATTCTCAAAGCAGCTTATGGACCAAACAAGGTGATGACAAGGAACACAAAAAAAAATCCTGGATCCTTCCATTCATT